GCAGAAAGTCGTCCGAACTGGATGCCATCCGTTGGATGCGCTTGAGGTGCTCGTCGAAGTCGTACATCTTGACACATCTTTTCTTAACAAAGCACTCCAGGGAAGAGGCGATCCGCGCCGTGCAGCCACACCCGGCCTGATCGGCGACATGGTTGAACCAGGCCGCTACAGGGCTGGCGGCCACCTCGTGTCGACCACCGGCGAGCGGAGGGTCGTGATCCTGCGCGCGCCCCTGGTGCGCCGCCGTCAGACACCTCTCGCCGGTGAGAGCGACGGCGGCCAGGACGACCCTAGGACAAGGGCTTTCTTTAGTAGAGCCTTTGCTTCGGAGTGGGCGGGGCAGATGGTAGATACTACCCTAACTTCTAACTTGTTTCGGGCGTAGTGTGATGGAATCAATACCAGGTGGCTGATTCACGCCGCGCACTTTCGTAGGTATACTGTGCCGCATGCACGGGTGCGGGCGGGTTTGCATATCCTCTCTGCTCACCGTTTCTTTAGGCCGCGTGCGAGTAGGCAACCCGCTCGCCCACGTGCATGCGATACAAGTATAACAACGAAAGTGCGAGACGTGAATCAGCCTGTATCACCTCTGTATAATTAAATTTGTTGTAATAATGTTTTATAAACATTGATTCTGTGGGGTCACTGCACAACTTAGCACAGGCATTTTCCCCATTCATTTCACTGTCCAAGAACCACTTTGCGTTCTGGTAGAGACGGTCTTCGGAAACCATTAGTCCTGTCTAAAAAAAATCAACGACAAGGCAATGAACTCTAGGTCGTAGCGATCGCACTCACCACGCCCAGAAAAGTTCCATGTCGTGGCGCGGCCCGGTGCTGCTGGTGCAGCGTGCTCGCCCCTGCCCTGCCCTGCTCCAGGCTGCTCGCTCCACCCCGCCCGGCGTTGACAGACTGCCGGCTCACAACGGCTCGACACCGCTCCTCTGCTCCTGTGGGCTCGCCCCGACCCGGCCACGAGGGGCGGGGGTGGGGGCGTCCGGGTTAGGGGCGGGTAGAGGTGCACCGAGCCGAGCACTTCTGCCCCCCACTGCCCCCGATACACGCCCAGTTTGGCCAAAATACATAGGGAGGGAGGGAGGGAGGGAGGGTGCAAACAAAAGTAACTCTAATTACCTTGAGCATAGGCAGATTCCCGAATGGCGAGGGCTGGTCAGCAAACCACGTGATGCCGCAGTTGCGGCAGTAGAACTCGCGCAGGCTCTGCCGTGGGAGATACCGACGAGTTAGGTGGGCGCGGCGCGGGTTCAGTACTGGGTGTATCTGAACACGCTGCCAGCGGGATTGCATACTCCCTAGAGTAGCATGCTGCGCAGGGGCCATGGCCTCTTACGGGCGTAAAGAGTATGCAAACCCGTAACACTGGAGCGTATTCAAAGATACGCCCCGTACAACAATTACCTCACTGGCACACGATACAAATAAAAAATTGCCCGCTCCTACCCATCGCTCTGGCAAGTGCTCCAGCAGCTCGGTGGGCAAGAAGGTGACGGGGTTGTCGCTGAGGTCAAGGACCCTGAGACGGAGCGCGGAGCTCAACAGCGGGCCTCGGAGATGCTGGCCGTACAGGAGGTTCCCGCTGAGGTTCAGGTGCTCGAGGCTCCAGACGTTCCGGAGGGCCCCGGAATGAAGTGTGCGCAGCTGGTTGGCGCTCAGGTCGAGGTGCACCAGCTGATAGAGTCCGCTCAGCGCGAACTGTCCGAGCTCCACCAGAGCGTTGCGCGCCAGCGACAGCAGCTGCAGGTGGACGAGCTGCGACAGCGGACCGTGCGGCTCCAGGCGCCGCAGGTCCACGCCCTCCACACGGAGCTCCTTGAGCTGGGGACAGAAAGCCTGCTGCTTGAAGCGCCGCGCGCCAGCCCGCACCCGGTATGGTGGGGGTGGGCACTCACGTAGGTGTAGTGACTGATGTTTGCGGGGAGGCGGTAGTTCCGGGGCGTTGGGTGCGCCCCCGTGATGTTGATGACCTCGACGACGCACCGGTTGCGCGTGAAGACGGGCACTGCTGACCTGGACGCGTTCCTCTCGGAGACCAGGCAGTGGAAGCCCCACTGGCCGCCGGGCCCCGGGGACCTGCTGCAGGAGCAGCCGGCGGGGCAGTGCAGCGCGCCGGCGCACAGGCGGCGGCACTCCAACCAGGACACGCACGAGGCGTCGCAGGCGGCCGA